TACAGGGGACCAACTTCGGAGAGCTACAAGGAACCCTCTTGCCTCTACCGGCTCTGGGGCCCCTCGACTACCCGACTGGACGAGATTCGACATCCAACGCAGTCTACAGAGTCTCCGTAGTCACGAACCCCATGTCGTGAAAAAGGAACTCCGAAAACTGCATCTGCGATGGCATCATGCGAAGGAACCAAAGATGAGGCTAATCCTCGACAAAGTGGGGCTTGATAACGTTCGACTGAACATGAGCAAGGAAGCTTGCGATACCTGTCGGGAATGCAGAGCATGGGAACGTCCAGGAAACTCAACACTACCCTCGGTGAGCCTTCCTGGTAACTGGCTCGACGAAGGTGAAATGGACCTCATGTTCTACAAGAAACGGACCATATTTCATATTATGGATCGTTGTATTCGCCTGGCAGCAGGCTTAGAAATTTCCGACAGAGAACGTGACGCTATCATTGACGCCTACCACTACTGCTGGATTGCCTATCACGGACCCTTCAAAGTCTTATACTCAGACGGAGAAGGCGCCCTGAATAACGATGCCGCTAAAGCCATGATGGCCAATAAGGGCACGGAACTTCGTATCCGAGCACCTGGCCAACACGCGACTTCAATTGTGTCACGAAACGGCATTCTCAGAGGCGTCCTCCACATGATTGAGGAAGAACTGAATAGACACAACATCCCTGTTGTATTCACTAGAGTATTGACGGAAGGCATCTTCGTTACTGATGCTTTTACGTTTTATAACGGAGTATCGCCATACCAAGCACACACGGGACGTCAGCCCTCCTTCCTCCCTGATCTCGATACCCTTGACTTTCCCAAGGGACCCGAGACTCCAGGACACGAACGAGAACGTCGTGTAAGGGAAGTCAGCCTAGAAGCTATACTTCAGGCCACTGTTGTGGCCAAGACAAATCGGGCTCTTAGGGCTAAAACGACTCGCGATGGTGCTCGCCTTTATTCTGCAGGGGATTTGGTCGATTACCACCGACCCACTGCCACCAAGGACGACCATGGAGGCTGGAATGGCCCATTCCCGGTGATCCGCAATGTGCCGGAAAGAGGACATATTGTTGTCAAGGCAGGATCTCGTGAGGTAATTGTGATGTATCCTGATGCTCGTCACACACTATACATTGAATGTCTCCTCACACGGGAACTTGGCATGGATAATATGGCCATGCAAACCGTCCTTACATATGTGGCACACCTCGGCGCAGGGAAACCTGCCAAAGTTTTCGGCTATATCCCCGATTACAAGGGAAACCTCAATCTTTCGGACGACAGCAAGTTTCACCCGCGCGTACATCTAGCACTACAGTATCTCGTACGAAACTATTTTCGAGTAGAACATGTAGTGGCAGTTAGATTAGCCAAAAGTGTGTCAAGCCTACCTGCAGTAAAGTACGCCACCGGGTCTACGCTGATCCACTATGACAACGATATCAGCCCGGTTTTCCACTATTACGAGTGTGTGGGCACCGGCCTAAACATTTCTCAGATCACTGGTAGCACTCATTCCAGACTCATTCAATGCTTGACTTCACGTGTCCCTTCCTTAGGATTTCACGACGACCTAGCTAAATATCAGCACTCAAGCAACACGTCTGGAGAACACGATTCGCCTGGAAACAGGCCTCCTCCAGACACCCCGGGTGCTTCATCGCCGAGTGAAGGCCGTCTGTCGACAATCTATTAGGAAAATGACGAACATAATATCGAAGCTATGATGCTGGAAGAGTGGTACGACGAGCTACGTATGGACCTTCATCCTACGACGACTACCGACGATTATCTTTACTGCGTCCCAACAACCATGCTGCCTGACCAATGTGTTTTGGTTTCAGCATCTGTGGACGAAGAAGATACCATATCATCGGACGCGCTCGGAGACGAGCCTAAACCACGAGAGTCCTGTATAGTCTCTCTCTGCTCAACCACACCTGACGAGAGCTACTCTCTTGATAGTGATGAATAAGGTTCTTACGTTGAGTTATGTTTTACATCAGAAATGTCAAAAATAGTGTTATATCAGACTCAACTTGCACAGCTCGACACCGATATGGTCGCAACGATGAGAGTATATGTATCCTCTGCTGCTAAACGTGCTGTGGTCGTTAAAGAAGATGATCTACTGACCAAAGCCGACATAGCAGCACACCCAAAGGAGGTTAGTGAAGCTTTGTATACTGAGCTCAAAATCTGGATTGACAACCGATGCTTTGAGATGTATGATATATCCAAAGCTTCCAACATCATGACATCCAGGTATGTATACAAGTGGAAGTTTGTAAAGATGGGTACCGAGAACGTTAAAACCATTCGTCTCAGACTTGTCCTTCGCGGATTTATGGATACTGAGGCTTTCGATGTGGAAACATTCTCGGAAACCGCCCGAAGGCAGTCCCAAAGACTCCTGGCAAGTGAGGCGGCGTGTCATCCAGAGTGGATCTTAGCATCCATGGATATCGACAAGGCGTTCCTCAAGGGTTTGACCTATGAGGAACTTGCCCATGCCACAGGCGAGGAAACTCGCATGGTCTGCTTCACTCTTCCACCGGGAAGTGCCCAGGTACTTCGTGCACTACCCGGCTTCTCATCCTATGACGAAAGCCGACACTGCCTCAGATGCCTCAAACCAGGAACGGGTACAAAGGATGCTCCAGGAGCGTTCTTTCTCAAACTTCGTGCGACCACACGAGCTATGGGTCTTGCACCGGCCAGTCATGACCCTGAATTTGACTTCAGCCAAGATCTGCTAACGGCAAAACATGTCGATGATATTAACATGACTGGCCTAGAGAAAAACATAGACGACTACGTGCAGCGCGTCGAAAAGGTGTTTGGCACATGCAAGCTAAACAAACACACATATACGAACTGCGCCGTTCGCTACGCTAAGAATGACCAAGGGGATGTGATTATGGATCAGGACGAGTATATCAAACAACTACGTCCTATCACACACCCAGAACTTACAGGAGCGGCGGCCGATGCCAAAGCCACGAAATTCATTACCGACATGTTCGTCAGCTTGCGAGGAGCCCTCGCCTATGCCCTTCTTACTCAAATCTGGCTCATGGTATATGTGGTCTCTCTCCAGAAAATCCAAGAGCCCACCAATCTGCAAGTCAGACGCCTGAATGCTGTGGCGCGAAAGCTGATCAGCAGCCCGAAACGCATCACCTTCCCTCGGATGAAGCCGACGAATGAAGTTGACATCCACAGCGATTCGGGGTATCGGAAGCTTACCGGGGAGGAGGATGATGAGACCAAGGGCTACGGCATACGCGGGGCGAATGTACTACGGCGAGGAAACTCGCCTCAAGGCAAGTCCGTCGTTCACCTCTGTGACGGACTATGCAAATCACACCGACTGCAGGTGAGGTCCAGCTATGCTGCGGAGGCACTCGCAGCGGCGCATAACCTCGATGAGTGTTACCCTACGCTCATCACTCTCCACGAGCTCAAGGCAGGAGCTCTGACTCCACGACAACTACGAGATATGCGTGAAGTTGGAGGCCTAGCCATCAAAGTATCTCTTACCATAGACGCTGAGTCCGTTTATAAATCATTATCAAGCAAGGATCTTAAGATACCGACAGAGCGGACTCTGCTTGGACACATCAGTTGGATACGTGAGCTCATGGATATAGGTATAGTACATAACGTGCAGTGGTGTGATACTAGGGATATGACCGCAGACGGGCATACAAAGGGAAGCATCGATCGGGAGCTGCTTCTGGAAGTGATGTCAGGCACTCAGTCATTCAAGTATGACGTGAAGCAGTTTGTTCCCTTTCGGGGTCCCGAGGACAGAGACAAACCCAAGTCTAATCAATTTTAGTATGCCCTTGTTGCCCCCGCGGTCCAATTTGCCAGCATGGGCGCCTACTATAGAGGCGCCCTTCTAGTTGCTCGGAAACGAGCCTTACATTTCACGCCTGGCAACGAGCCGGCTTTGTATGACTCAGGCTCTTTGCCTTAATACATATTTGCTCGGTGAGGTATGGCCTGTTTGGCTTACCTCTAACTGAGCAGATAGCCCTTCATCGTTCAAAGGGGCTATCTTGTATTTGCGTGAAATGCCTTGCGAGGAAACTCGCCTTACAGTCTGGTGTTAGGCCAGACTGTACGCACTGTTTTCTTTCTTGCAAACAGTCGTGCGCGCGGCCTTTGAAGAGCCTAACGGCTGCGCGGCTATGCTCTCCGTCTCCTCTCCTCCCGACTTGAAGGGTCGCTCTTTGGGAGATGTTATAGTATCGGGAGCATAGCTCGCGCGCCGTCGCCTTTGGCTCAAGGCACGCGCGCCTTATTTGCCCGGACACTTACCTTAGTGTTCGATATGTGCTGGAAAGACCGATACATCGATCTGATCCTATCATACCCGCCCATTCCCCATATTGAACCACCGCAGCAGAGGAAAGGACGCTATTTGCCATTCGATTCCCATGGGAGCGGATGCTTTTGAGTTACCAGGCTCACTTTCGATTTCCTGAAGTATGCCATAATCCTTCTTGAGCCGTCATGGAGTCATCTTTTGCATCTTTGACGCGTCGGAGGGTGGAATCGGAGGCTCTGAGGGGCCAGGGGGTGCGTTGAGGAGTTCGTACTGTGCCCCCCATCCCCTTTGCCCTTCCTTTCCCCTCTCTCCTTCCCCCACCTCCCCCTTTGAACAGGATTTTGTACTCTTGGGGAGGTGGACAGTTCCGTAGCACCTTGGGGGCCTGTCCTGTCGTGTAATTAGCTGTCCTTTTTTGTATTTCGATTTGGGTTCGACGCTGACGCGACGTGAACTCGACGTGGATTCGACACGGATTCGGCACGGATTCGACTCGGATTCGACGCGTTCGAAACGGATTCGACATGGATGCGACACGGATGGTTGGCGCGATGGCGCGAACAGTGTCCCCCAACGATGCAACGAAAGGACAGGGGGAGGGAGAAACGGCCGAACACCCCACGCGCCCTCTCACCCTACGCAAGCAGAGGTCTGGTGGACTTTGACGACTCGCTGCTCACGTCGCTTCCCAGCGTTATCCAAAAGGCCCCCGACGCCCGCGGCGGCTTCGACAGCCTATGCCTGGCGCAGGTGCAGGATCGAGGAGGAAAGAACGGCGCAAACATATACATTCGGAGCTCCGTTACGATTTCGGGGTGCCGCTGGAACCTTCTGGCGGCGCCTCTGGCGCCGCCCCTGGCGCGCTCCGCGCTTCCTCTCCCTGGCGCCCAGAGCGCGCCAAGAGCGGCGGCAGAGGCCCTGCTAGAGGATTCCAGGGCAGATCCAAGAAATCCTCACGGAACTCCGAAAAGGTTTGATTTATGTTGTCGTTCGTTGATTCGGGGATCGTGCTCTCGCTTCGATGCCAGCTACCCGTTTCATCCGGACGGCCATGATTTCACCACCCACCAAACCACCCCAACCCAACCCGAAGGCCTCAATTTGCCTTACATTTCCAGTGGGTGGGGGGGTCGGGGGACATTGAAACAACACATATAGAACCTGTACCCCCCCCAGCCAAAAATTCGGGTCCTCGGGTTGGGTTGGGGTGGTCTGGTAGGTAGTCAGATCTTAGTGGTAAAGAAGTGCAACACGGTGCACATGGCCGTGCTCTCACCCCACAGTCTCGTGCATCTAGTCACTCCTCCGTGTGGGGCGCGGTCGAGGCCTGCGCTTGCTGATCTGGCGTTTCCGTTCGCACGATTGTCGCGTTGCTTGTCAGTTCTCGCTGCTGTGGGCTCCCGTCCCCATTGGGGTGATGGTAGCCACGAGCGCGTGGCCGTTCATTCGCCTGCGCCGCCAAGGCCCAGAGAGCTCCAAGGAAACTCCCGAGGGCCCACTGGAGCCTCTAGAACAAAAACATGGCCGTGCTCTCACCCGTCCCGCCTGATACCCCAGGAATTTAGGTCCTCACTCGCCGATCCCCCGCTCCTCGACCCGCCCTCTGCCCCCCCTCGCTGCCGATGGGGCAATGCTTCGTGCTCCGCCGCCTCGGCTCGAGGGTGAGCAGGGGACGTGCTGCATGTTGCAGAGGTGGCCGTGCCCGCACCGACTCCAATGATCTCTCCCCCCCTCCCTCCTTTCCTAACTTTTTTATGTTCTCTCCTTTCCTCCCGAACTTTCCTCTTCCCTTATGTTCCCTCCTCATTCCTTTCCTAACTTTTCATTTCCTCCCTCTTCCCCCCTTTCCAATGATCTCTCCCCCCCTCCCTCCCTCCCTCCCCTTTGTCGGCGGCGGGCGCGGGGGGGAAATGAGAAGGGGCGGGACTTCCGAGGCTTCTGAGAAGTTTCTGGACTTCTGAGAGGGCTTCTGAGAAGTTCTGTCTGTATTCGAAATAGGCCAAGGAAACGTCTCAGAAGCCCCCCGGACTTCTAAGAAGTCCCGCGGCCTTCTGAGAAGGCCTTCTCCTTCTCATTTCCCCCCCTGGGCTCGTCGCCTACTTTGCATGTTGCATGCTCCTCAGACACACCAGACGTTTTTTCCGCATCGGGGCTACGGCCTCCACCGCCACGCCCAAGCGGGCGCGTGCGGGCGCCCGCGCGGCGTGCGCACGCATCTGGCGTTCGCTCGTTCGTTCGTTCGTTCGGGGCCCCGGCCATGGTGCCCAGAGCTTAGTGGGCCCTGGAAACGACGGGGCCGTTTTTTAACGGGTTCCGTTTTGCCGTTTGTTTGCCGGTTCCGACGCCGTTTCTTTACCGGTTCCGTCGCCGTTTTTTGACCGGTTCCGGCTCCAGTTCCAATCCTGGAGCCGTTTTTTTGGCCGTTTCCGGTGGCCGTTTTTTTTGCCGCTTCCATCTTCAAGGGACATTTTTGGGGGAAACGGTGACAAAACGGCCCTGCCGTTTCCGGGGCCCACAGAGGCCCGGAGGCCTCCAGGGGTAGTGAGCCAGAGGCTCCCGCAGGTCCCCATGTTTTCGGCCCTCCGAGGCCGTCAGGAGGGGCCACGCCCGCCCCGGAGCCCCGTCCCCCGATCCCCTCGCGTCATGGAAGAATCACGACGGGATGTTTTTCGCTATTTTCAGCCTCTGGGGGCCCATACCGGGACTCGGGACCGTCGAAAAACGACTCAGGATGAAAAACCGGTCCCGGGGAAGGGGTCGGGACCTCTGGGGGTCGCGTCATGAAAAAATCATGACGTCGGGGGTCTGGGTCCCGGCCCGCGTCTCGCCGTGCCCCCACGCAGGAGCTGCTCCAGCAGGCCACCTCGGACCTCGCGGCCGCCCTCGCGGCGGGCGAGCTGGCCAAGGCCGAGCGCGCGAGCGCCGTGGCCGCCTCGGAGGGGGCCCTCGCGGCCGCCGAGGCGCAGGAGGCGGCCGGCAGGCGGGCCGTGCTGGAGGCCAAGAGGGAGGAGGCCGAGGCGGGCGAGGAGCAGAAGACTTCGATGCTCGTTGCGGGGACCTTCCTGGAGTCCACCTAAGGGTTCTGTTCGACCCCACTTCGACTCAGGTTCGACTCAGGTTCGACTCAGGTTCGGCTCAGGGTCGACTCAGGGCCGACCCAAATCGACTGACATGCGACGCAGCTTCGACGCACGAGTGGAGCGAGTGGCTCCAGGAAGGTCCCCAGAACGAGCATCCAAGAAGACTGCAGAGGCAGAAACTCTCGGAGCTCCGCGCGGCTGTGTTTCAAGCGGTGGCGAAGCGTCCTGGCGTGCCTTTTAGTCCTACCAAGCCATGTTCTAAGAGCCTGTTGCGGTTCCCACGAGATGCTCTTAGAACAGTTCTGGTTGGGACTGTCTTGTTTGAACGCATCGGGCTTATGTTATAAGAACATTGTTTGTGTTCTTAGAACAGTCTGGGGTTCTGAGAACATGTTGAGAATATTTTGTGGTAGGACTACAGGAATGCCGGGACGGTCGGTCCCTGCTCAAGTATTAGAAGAACTTGCCCCAGCAACAGGTTACCCCAGCAGAGAAGGGCGCGGAGGCATCGAGGAGCAAGTTGCCCCAGCAAGCGCACCCTAAAATAGCAGCAACGATGCAGAGGCGGGTCGAGGAGTAGGAGGTCGGCCAGTGAAGACGTGCCCAGGAAGGGGTGAGCCGCAGCGCAGGTTTTGTCAGGGGTCTTGGCCGTCCTGACCCCAAATGCAGACGGAATCTGGGCGAGAGGACGATGATTGCATACACCGCGAGGAAGTCTCAGGCGAGCAGGTCTCAGGCGAGCATGGGTCCTTCAGCTCCTGAGGACTCTTGCCTGAGATTGCCACCGCCTCAGGGGCTTGTGTCAATCTTGGGGGCAGGGATGAGCTCGAGGCTGGGGCCACGCATGCCGCGTTCTGCCTCTCCCAGGCGGGCGAGGCGCTGAGAGCGGCGAAGGCGGCGGCCAAGGCCTTCGACCCCGAGCTGAGGGAGGCGTGCGACGCCCTGGGCGGCGCCCACGCCGCGCTCCGGAGGCTCCAAGACGACGCCGTGGCGCCCTTCACGGCGCTCCTGGAGTGGCCCGAGCCCTCAGCTGGCCCTGGAAGCGGCAAGGCCGTTTCTTTTGTCACGGCAGGGTCGCGCCGTCGACGCGGCAGCGACCCCGCCGCGGGCGCTCGAGGTTGGATGACGCCACCTGGTCCAGAGTCTGCCACGACGGAAAGATCTGGCGATCGAAAATCCGCCGATCGTTCGAGACTGAGCGAGGCATGAGGTATCAGAAACCAGCGCCGTGGTCTTCACGATACGAACTTGCCGTGCCGATGTATCAACCAATTGTCGCGTGATGCATTGAAGATAGCAAAACACGATTCACCGAAACGGTTGAAAAGTTTGGTTGCCCGAGACGGCCTGGGCAGGCCTGGGATCCGAAGGATGTCCAGAACCTGATCTGGACCAGGCCCCCACGAGGGGAAACGAACACAGTGAAACAACGGCGCCAGAAGCAATCGTGTCGGGAACGCTATGAATTTGAACACTTACAACGACACCAGAAGTCCCTTGTTGTTTCCAGGGCCCACTTAGGTCCAACGTGCCCCCGCCAGAGCCGGAGCCGGAGGTGGCCGAGGACGAGGGGCAACGCTAGAGGGGGGAGGCTCACAGGGAGGGATGCGTCGACCCCCAGTCGCCCGCTGATCGCCGATAATTAGGGGCCCAAAAGCCCCTCGCGCCCAGGAGCTCGTGGATTCGCTATCGGGGGCCCATCGCCGATCCATCGGCGATCAATCGCGGACCCATCGCCGATCCACCGGCTTGCTCAACGAATTCACACAACAGGTACATGCATTCATGCACACGAGGAGCTGCTTTTGCAAAGTGTGTGGTCACTCGCGCCGCAGTGACACCGATGCGCGGCTCGGTTCTTTCTAGATCGCGCGGGCGGGCAGGAAGGGCCTGACAGGGCTGAACCGAAACGGTGTTTTGGCGCTTCCGTGGGCCGTCTTCGTTTCGATCTCGTCTTGCGGTAAAGGCGAATCGCACCGTTTGTGTTCAGCCCTGTCCCATCCCCGAAGGAAAAATAGACGGAGGAGGTTCTTTCATTGAAGTGCCACTCCTGGGTCGGGTATAGCCAGGACCCCAGGTAAGGGGACCCGGTCAGTTGTAGGGCCCCGGAGCTCCTAAATTTGCCAGAATCGCTAAACCAGGTCTGCCGTAGCTGGTGTTTTTCGGCTGACGGCAGTTCCGGTTAGTGGAGCGTGGCCCGGGGGGCGCCCCCAAGTACACATCACTAAACCAGGTTCCATTAAACCCAGTTCTGCCAACGCCCGACTGGGGCTCGCGCCCTGGCCTTCCCCCAACAAGAGTTGCGCGTCAGGTTGCGCTGTCGACCCCCTTGTTTGCAGCAACAGCGGTTCCCGCCCGATACTTCTTCACAGTTTTATCGAGAAGCCGTTTTTTTTTCGCTCGAGATATGGTCGCAACGTATCCAGGAGCCGCGCTTTCGCTTGGAACGTCCTCATAACTTATGCGCGAATCGCTCTCTCGGCGCTCTCGAGTCGCGCTATCGCTTAGGACTTCCTCGCACGGTACTCAGGAAACGCGCTCACGCCTGGGACTTCTTGGCCATCCCCTCTTGCTAATCCCTCTTGCTAATCCCTCTCGGCCTCCATTTTCTCCCTGCCCCCCTCTTGTCCCCTTCCCTCCTCCCTGATTACCTCCACTCGCTTCCTCCTCTGTTCCTCTCTCTCCCTGTTCTATTAGTTCCGTGTTGTTTTGTGGGCTGCGCCAGTCATGCGTGGCATGGGATCGTGACGTCATATCCGGACCCGTGTCCACACTTCTGGGCCGGTTTTGGAGGTCGCCGCGGCGATTGCGTCGCCCGCAAGATGGGGCAAGGTTTTTGTTCGACAGTGGCACGCGTGCCCCTTTCCCAGCCCTCCCCGCTATGCGACGGAGATGTGGGGCATGATTATCCATATATAGAATATAGCGACAGAGAGTTGCCAGTGTGATCCAACACGGGCTGTCACGTTTTTTGGTTATGGGGTCGAGCATCACGCAACCAGGGAAGGAAGATACACCCCCAAAGGAGGCACTATCAGATAGACGACGAGGGTGGGTTTCGAGGGCTTTGGAGATACATGTTGAATGACACGCGAGTGTATGAGAGCGAGCAGTGATGCATCGACTATCGTTGTTGTTGTAGTAGTTGTTGTTGTTGAGCTCCCATTGCAAAAGTATAGCTATTGTTGATACACTTGTGCCTTTTCAATTGAAGTGCCCCTCCCGGGGCTCGCACCCTGTTTCTCAACAGGGGAACTCTTCCTGCTCAAACTGCGCCCCTGTCCCCCGAAATATAACAACAACGGCTCCCGCCTGATTCTTCCTCGGAATTTACTAAGAAATCGCGCTCTCGCTGGAGACTACTTTCTTGCAGTTTCTCCACGCAATTTATTCAGACGCCACGCCCTCGCCATTCAGGAATCGCGCTCTCGCCTGGGACTTCCTCATACTTTACTTGGGGATTGCGCTCTCGCCCACGACTTCCTGGCAAGTGATGCATGACTCACGCACTCGCGTAACAAGTGATTTTTGTAATTGAAGTGCCCATCCCGGGCCTCGCTGTGTTTTCACAGGGGGAAGTCTTCCTGCTCAAATTGTGCCTCTGGCCTTCGGTTTACAACAACAAGAACAACAACGGCTTCCACCGAACACTTCCTTGCAATTTATTGAAGAATCGCGCTCTCGCTGGGGACTTCCTTGCTGTTTAGTCAAGAATCGCGTTCTCGCCTGTGTTTTCCTCGCAATTGATTCAGGCGTCGCGCTTTCGACACTCAGGAATCGCGCTGTCGCTCGGGACTTCCTCGCAATTGCTTCAGGCGCCGCGCACTCGGTGCTCAGGTCTAGATTCCCTCACGGGATTTATTCCCAACCATTCTGTGGTGTTGGGTCCTCGTTTTGAAGAGACAGCGCCCCGCGTTCCTTTCTTCCTCCTCCTTCCCCTCCTCCCTCCTCCCATTCCTGCATCGTCTCTGTTTCGGCACACCCCTCACACGTTTCGTGGCCCCGTGGGTAGTTCCACAGAAGCTCCCAATGGTGCAGTTCGCATGTGGGCGTCGCGCCCGTTTCGGCAATCCCCCCTTATACGTTTCGTGGCCTCATACATAGGAAGCTCCACCGAAGGTCGCAGTGGTGCAGTTCGCATGTGGGCGTCGTGCCCGTTTCGGGACACCCCTCACACGTTTCGTGGCCCCATATGGAGCTCCACCGAAGGTCCCAGTGGTGCAGTTCGCATGTGGGCGTCACGCCCGTTTCGGCACACCCCTCACACGTTTCGTGGCCCCGTGGGTAGTTCCACCGAAGGTCCCAGTTGCGCAGTTCGCATGTGGGCGCCACGCCCGTTTCGGGACACCCCTTATACGTTTCGTGGCCCTCATAGGGAGCTCCACCGAAGGTCCCAGTGGTGCAGTTCGCATGTGGGCGTCGCTCCCGTTTCGGCACACCCCTCACACGTTTCGTGGCCCCGTAGGTAGTTCCACCGAAGGTCCCAGTGGCGCAGTTCGCCTGTGGTCGTCACGCCCGTTTCGGCGCACCCCTCATATGTTCCGTGGCCTAGGGAGCTCCACCGAAAGTCCCAGTGGTGCAGTCCGCATGTGGGCGTCACGACCGGTTCGATACACCCCTCACACGTTTCGTGGTCCCATCGTAGTTTCACCGAAGGTCCCAGTGGTGCAGTTCGCATGTGGGCGTCACGCCCGTTTCGGCACACCCCTCACACGTTTCGTGGCCCCGTGGGTAGTTCCACCGAAGGTCCCAGTTGTGCAGTTCGCATGTGGGCGCCACGCCCGTTTCGGGACACCCCTTATACGTTTCGTGGCCATCATAGGGAGCTCCACCGAAGGTCCCAGTGGTGCAGTTCGCATGTGGGCGTCGCTCCCGTTTCGGCACACCCCTTACAAGTTTCGTGGCCCCGTAGGTAGTTCCACCGAAGGTCCCAGTGGCGCAGTTCGCCTGTGGTCGTCACGCCCGTTTCGGCGCACCCCTCATATGTTCCGTGGCCTAGGCAGCTCCACCGAAAGTCCGAGTGGTGCAGTCCGCATGTGGGCGTCACGACCGTTTCGATACACCCCTCACACGTTTCGTGGTCCCATCGTAGTTTCACCGAAGGTCCCAGTGGCGCAGTTCGCATGTGGGCGTCACGCCCATTTCGGCGCACCCCTCATACGTTCCATGGCACTATAGGGAGCCCCACCGAAGGTCCCAGTGGGAGGTTCACATGCACCCACCCACCTCCCCAAATCGGCACGCCCCTCACACGTTTTGTGGCGCCATAGGGAGTTCCACTGACGACGATCCTCACAACTGCGGCACTCTCCACTGCATGTGGTTGGGTCCTTCGCCAGGCTAATGTTTGGATGCGCTGTCGCGCAAGGCTTCCTCACGATTCATACAGGACGCACGCTTCAGCAACCCGCCTGCTCGACCTGGCCGCCTGGGCCCGCCTGTTAGGGTCTACCCGCCCGATCTGCCCGTCTGCTTCTGCCACGTGTTTTCTGCTCCTCGCCCCATCCTGCTACTCTCTCTCGTGCTTCATCCTCCTCCCCCCCTAGTCCCTTCCTTCCATCCGTCCTCTCATCCCCTGCCCTAGGTGCTGCACGACATACACGTTGCAGGTAAGAGAGATATGCTCCAAGGGGATCCCATCGAAGACGAAGAGGGTGGGTGTCGAGGGCTTGGGATACACGTGTTAAACGGCACGCGAGCAGATACGAGCGAGCAGTCTTAAGACGAGTGTTGTTGTTGTTGTTGTTGTTGTTGTTGTTGTTGTTGTTGTTGTTGTTGTTGTTGTTTGTTGTTGTTGTTGTTGTCGTCGTCGTCGTCGTCGTCGTCGTCGTCGTCGTTGTCGTTGTTGTTGTTGTTGTTGTTGTTGCTGTTGTTGTTGTTGTTGTTGTTGTTGTTGTTGTCATTGTTGTTGTTGTTGTTGTTGGAGTCTCACTTCTGAAGAATATGTTTTGTTGATCCCCCCCGTCCGGCGCACATTGTGTTTGTTCGATTGAAGTGCCCTTCCCAGGGCGCGCACCCTTTTTTATCAAGGAAGGTCTTGAGGGTCAAACTGTGTTGTTGGCCCCCGGTTCACAACAACAGCCGCTCCCGCCTGATACTTCTTCGCAAATTGGAGAATCGCGCTCTCGCTTGGAACTTCCTTGCAATTTACCACCAGATCGCGGCTCCCGCTTGGTATTACTTCACAATGTATTGAAGAATCGCGCTCTCGCTTGGGACTTCCTCGCAACTTACTACAGAATCGCGGCTCTCGCCTGATACTTCCTCACAACTTATTCAGATGCCGCTCGTCGACACTCAGGAGTCGCACTCCCGCTACATATTGCTTGGCGGTTCAAGTAGAATTCACGCTTCAACGACCCGCCCGCTCGACCCGCCCGCGCGACCTTGCCGCTCAGTGGTCATCGGGGCCATTCCGAGACCCCCCCAGAGGTCATAGGAGGTTCTCGGGTGTTTTCCAGTCCCCCCGCGCCTTGTTCCCACACCAGTCTCCGCTCGTATCCACCTGCCCCCACTTTTCAACGTTCTTTCCAAATCTTTGTTACTCTTTCCGTTGATCTTCAT